CATAGGTTCCGTGTCCACCTCTCCTCCTTTGTTCCTTACCAAATACTTGGCTGGAGGAATGGGGTTGCTCATTTGCCGTACGATTTCTCCAAGTGTTGCTCTGCTGACTGGCCCAGCGGCACTGCCACTTGCCTCTCACTGGCCTAAGCTCTGTCGCCTAGGGCCTGCATGCCTGTGATGTTTACCTGACAGCTCGCTTGTCTTCCACTTGGTCTCCAGGTTAATTTTCCTAAGTCACGAGTCTAACCCAGACACTTCTCCTTGCCCAAACCTCCCTCGCCGCCATGCTGTCATCTTTAGGCTAAAGTGCACGCTTGGTAGCCTGGTAAGCCAGCCCCTCCACAACACAGCCAGGCAGCTTTCCTTTTGAAAGGCTCTCATCCGGAAGAACTCACCCTAGGTCATCTGGCAACTGGTGACCGGGTCTCCCCAGCCCCAGTCTCACCTGAGATTCAGTTCTACAACTCTAACATTTATACCAAAGTGTTCCACGGACAGTCAACACTCGCTGGAGGCATCAAATGAGAGGCCGATTTAAAAACAAAAGGTAACTGGAGAACCCTATATACATGCAAGGGAATATTCTCAACATCCAACTCCAAGCTTAAAGATGTTCTCTATAGCTGGCACTACAGACAATGGGGACTTAATAAACTGTTAAACCCACCTACAAAAATGTCATTAAAATGCCCTGAGACTCGGTTTTCTTATCTGTGTGACAGAACTATTTGGGAAGTCAATGAAATACGCCAAGGGCTGGGCCAGTGTGGCCCTGTGTAAGCAGTGTGGCACTATTAGCTACTCCCATAATTAAAATAACTAACCCTGTACAGCGCCCACTCCTCTAACAGTGGGCTCAAAGCCGACACCTGTGAGGACGCACTTCCCTGTCGCACACGGAGCTGCCGCCTTGGAGCCGACTCTCGACATCATCTGACACAACTGCCACCAACACACAACACACAGAAGTTAAGGGCTAAGTGAATTCTCACTCGCTACAGGGAACCTTCGTCTGTCTTTCCAGCTCACAGTGATGGGGTGACCCTGGATTTCAGGATCTCTACTGTCTGGTGCTGATTTTGAACACGTTC